TCAGGAGGCCTGTAATCTCATCACTCTGAGAGGCTGAGGCAGGAGGAACACTTGAGCCCAGGAGTTCAAGACCAGCTTGGGCAACATTAGCAAGACCAAGTCTCTACCCCCCCAAAAAAAAAAAAAGAGAGAAAATTAGCCAGTGCTGGAGGATTGCTTGAGTCCAGGAGTGTGAGGCTGCAGTGAGCTATGATTGAACCGCTGCACTCCAGAGACCTTTTTTTTTTTTTTTTTGAGACAGTCTCACTCTGTCACCAGGCGCCAGGCTGGAGTGCAGTGGCGTGACCTTGGCTCACTGCAACCTCTGCCTCCCGGGTTCAAGCAATTCTCTTGCCTCAGACCCCCGAGTAGCTGGGACTACAGGTGTGTGCCACCATGCCCAGCTATTTTTTTTGTATTTTTACTAGAGACAGGGTTTCACCATGTTGACCAGGATGGTCTCGATCTCTTGACCCAGTGATCCGCCCGCCTCCGCCTCCCAAAGTGCTGGGATTACAGGTGTGAGCCACAGCGCATGGCCTTTTTTTTTTTTTTTTTTTTTTTTTTTTTTTTTTTAAAGAGTACTGGTCAGATGTTTTATAGAATGTTTCTTAATTTGGGTTTGTGTGATGTTTTCTCATGATTAGCCTGGGGTTACAGATTTTGAGGGGAAAAAAAAAACCACATAGAAATTGAAGAGCCCTTCCCATTGTGTTATTTTAGAGGGTTCTTGATATCAGCATGATTTATCACTGGTGATGTTAACCTTGACTACTTGGTTAAGGTGGTATCTGTCAGGTTTCTCCACTGTGAAGTTACCATTTTCCTCTTCACATATGCTATTTATTAAAAGTGATCATTAAGCCTAGCATACAATTCAAAGGAAGGGGAATTGGCCTGGGCAACAAAGTGAGACCCTGCCTCTACAAAAAATTAAAAATTAGCCAGGTGCAGTGGCATGCGCCTATAATCTCAACCACTCAGGAAGCTGAGGTAGGAGGATCCCTTGAGCCCAGGAGTTCAAGGCCGCAGTGAGCTATGATTGTGCCACCGCTCTCCAGCCTGGGTAACAGAGTGAGACCCTGTTTTTTAAAAAACGAAACAAAAATAAAGGAAAGAGAATTAACCTTTACCTCTTGGAAGGAGGAGTGCCAAAGAATTTGTGCACATGTATTAACCACTGCAATAACTAATAAGTATTTAAGGGAGATACTTTGATGTATCCTATTTCTCCTTGAAGTTTTACCCACTAATTTTAGTGTTTTTCCATGAATGTTAGTACTGTGATTTGTGTGTGTGTGTGTGTGTGTGTGTGTGTGTGTGTGTGTGTGTGTGTGTGTGTGTGTGTGATCTTCCTCTTGCAGTGGCATGGTCTCGGCTTACTGAAGCATTGACCACCCAGGCTCAAGTGATTCTTCCACCTCAGCGTCCCAAGTAGCTGGGACCACAGGTGTGCACCACACCTGGCTAGATTCTTTTTATTATTTGTAAAGATGAGGTCTCACTATGTTGCCTAGACTGATTTTGAACTCCTGGGCTCAAGCAATTTCCTTCATATCTTCTATGCTTATTAACTAATATTGCTCTGAAAGAAAGATGTCCTACATATTACAAATAACTTCTTCCCAGTTAATTTATTCAATTATTTACGTCAGTATGGTTTCATGGATATTTATTTAATTTGGGGACTATATTTCAATATGATCATAATTTATTCTGTTATTCCAGTTTTTCCAGCTTTGACCATTGGGGGTTCTTTCAGGTTGGTTCCTATGTCCTTTGGATTTGCCCTTATCTTTTATTTAATTTTTATGACTGGCTGATTGTACTTTTTAATTTTTTAGTTCTATCAGATGGGCCAGGGTCATCTTACTCAGCCATTTCTTCAAGGAGTCCTGGTTCTTTATATTAAAGAATTATATTTAGTGCCTGTAATGTCAGCAGTTTGGGAGGTTGAGGTAGGAGGATCACTTGAGGCCAGGTGTTCTAGACCAGGCTGGGTAACTTAGCGAGACTCTGTCTCAACAACAAGAATTATATTTGCAGCCGGGCGCAGTGGCCCATGCCTGTAATCCCAGTACTTTGGGAGGCCGAGTCAGGTGGATCACAAGGTCAGGAGTTTGAGACCAGCCTGACCAACATGGTAAAACCCCATCTCTATTAAGAAAACACAAAAATTAGCCGGTGTGGTGGTATGCACCTGTAATCTCAGCTCCTCAGGAAGCTGAGGCAGGAGATTTGCTTGAACCCAGGAGGTGGAGGTTACAGTGAGCCAAGATCATGCCACTGCACCCCACTCCAGTCTGGGCAACAGAGCAACACTCTGTCTTAAAAAAGAAAAAGAAAAAAGAATTACATTTACAAGCCAAGATCTGGGTGCCAGTGTCCTTGTTGCTACTGGTATATCCACTGCTTCTAGGCCCTCTTAGCAAACAGAACTAGGGAATATATGTATATATGCTAACTCATGTATACACATATATCTATACTTATTTCTATATCTGTCTGCATAGATATTAAAATAAACGTGATCTCATACTGATATCTTCAATTCTAATCTTGTACCTTTGTGTTTATTCTAGCCATCCCACCTTGCTTATTGTAACTTCTTTCTCTGACAGGGAGAAAACTGACTTTCATTATCAATGATGTATTTGTTCAATTCTATTGTCTATATAGTTTCAGGATGAGTAATTCAATTTTTAACATTTCTTGTGAAAGGAAGCATACCATTTTCTGAAATAAGCATATTTTAGTGCACCTTAGCCTTTGTTGAGGGGCATTTACTTGTATTATCTGATTAACATTCTCCTTTGATTTTTTTCAAAGTTTAATTTTTTTTTTTTTTTTTTTTTTGAGATGAAGTCTTGCTCTGTCACCCAGGCTAGAGTGCAGTGGTACCATCTTGGTTCACAGCAACCTCCACCTCACAGGTTCAAGTGATTCTCCTGCCTCAGCCTCCTGAATAGCTGGGACTATAGGTGTGCACCACCACCATGCCTGGCTAATCTTTGTATTTTTAGTAGAGACGGGGTTTCACCATGTTGGCCAGGCTGGTCTCAAACTCCTGATCTCAAGCAATCCTCCCACCTTGGCCTCCCAGTGCTGGGATTACAGATGTGAGTTGATATGCTCTGCCAATGTTTAATTTTTATTTATTTTTTTTTTTGGAGCAAAGGTAGTAACTTTGCTGACTCTGTCACCCAGGCTGGAGTGCAGTGGCACAATCTTGGCTCACTGCAACCTATGCCTCCCAGTTTCATACAATTCTCTTGCCTCAGCCTCCTGAGTAGCTGGGACTACAGGTATGCCCCATCACACCCAGCTACTTTTTGTGTTTTAGTAGAGACAGGGTTTCACCATGTTGGCCAGGTTGGTCTCTAACTTCTGACCTCAGGTGATCCACCTGTCTCAGCCTCCCAAAGTGCTGGGATTACAGGCGTGAGCCACTGCACCCGGCCTCTCCTTTGGTTTTAAAATTCCATGAAAGCACACCTATGGCTAGGGACAGAGTTTATCCCTGATGTTTACTGGTAATTTAGGGTCATTGAAAAGTGGTAGTAACTTTGATTTTTGGTTTTTGTGGATGAAGCTAAAACTAAAAATGTATAGTTACGATAGTAGAATGGAACAGCTATGTAGACAGTTCTCAAATACATGGCAAATGTGGTAAGAGAGAGTGTTACAATATCACAATTGTTTTGTATTACAAACGTAGTGATAATTTTTACCATTTTAAAAATACAGTGATACAAAACAATTTTTATTTCATTCTCATTTTATTCTGTACTGTTTCAATTAGTGTTTCTGAATTTCATTATGGGTATATTGACTAGAACTCTGGTGGGTACTCTAGCTAGATCTAATACAGTGGTTCCCACGCTTTGTAATCTCATGGCTCAGAAAAAAGAAAAAAAAAAAATGATGGGCCAGGCATAGTGGCTCACGCCTGTAATCCCAGCACTTTGTGAGGCTGAGGTGGGCAGATCACCTGAGGTCAGGAGTTCAAGACCAGCCTAGCCAACATGATGAAACCCCATCTCTTCTAAAAATACAAAAATTAGCTGGGCGTGGTGGTAGGCACCTATAATCCCAGCTGAGAGGAGAATCACTTGAATCTGGGAGGTGGAGGTTGTAGCGAACCAAGATCATGCTACTATACTCCAGCCTGGGCGACACAGTGAGACTCAGTCTCAAAAAAAAAAATTAAAGAAAAAGAGAAAGAGAGAAGTTTATTGATAGGACTGACTTATAGTTGCCACCATTTTACTTTCCTAAATATATACATTTAAAAAAATTTACTAGGGCCGGGCGCGGTGGCTCACGCCTGTAATCCCAGCACTTTGGGAGGCCGAGGTGGGTGGATCACGAGGTCAAGAGATCGAGACCATCCTGGTCAACATGGTGAAACCCCGTCTCTACTAAAAATACAAAAATTCAGCTGGGCATGGTGGCACATGCCTGTAATCCCAGCTACTCAGGAGGCTGAGGCAGGAGAATTGCCTGAACCCAGGAGGCGGAGGTTGCGGTGAGCCGAGATCGCGCCATTGCACTCCAGCCTGGGTAACAAGAGCAAAACTCCGTCTCAAAAAAAAAAAAAAAAATTTGCTAACACCATTATTTCATAAAAGATAATTTTTACCATTTAAAAAATAAGATGTATGAATAAATTATATTCCTTTAATATGACTATAACTTAATTTTATTATTCACTATTTTAAAATTTTTAGTTTTCAGGATCTGGAAGAATTTGGAGCAAAAGATTAAAATTTTTATTTTTCTCATTTTTCCATGGATGAGTAAAACATCATAGATCAGTGTTTTGGAATCACTGGTCTAGTGTCTGTTGTTTCAAAGAAAGACGCTTATATCTTGTTATTATGCTATTTTCTTCCATAGATAAAAGCAGCTGTCATAGTCTTTATTTTTCATGATCTTTAGAATACAGTTTTGAGTATTTGAGACATTTAATAGATTCATGACCTATTGAATTAAATACTCAGTTTTTGGGTTCATTGTAGTGACTGACCATGAGCTACGCTGTGATGTTAAGATTGATGTGATAAAGAGGATCGAAATTGTATCTCGGGCCCGGGAACTTTATGTAGATGATTCACCACTGGAACTGATGGTGAGGGCATTGGATGCTGAAGGTAAAGAACTTCAGAGGATACTACAATCAGGAGAAGGGCAATATGAAGAAAAGTGAAAAAAAAAAACAAAAAAAACTTCAGAGGATTCAACAAAATTAACTAAAATAAAGTAATAGTAATACACCTTTATGTTTAGCACATGGAAACAAAAACTTGAGTGATTAGAAATAATATCTATTCTCTCATTTGGAGCTAAATAATTCTGAGTGTAATTTAATGTATTAGCTACACACTTTCATAAAATATTACTGCTATTGTTATCTCAGAACTTTTCCTTTCTTTGGTTTTTTTGTTTTGTTTTGTTTGGTTTGGTTTTTTTTTGTTTTTCTGGTTTTTTTTTTTTTTGAGACAGAGTTTCACTCTTGTTGCCCAGGCTGGAGTGCAATGGCACCATCTGCCTCCTGGGTTCAAGCAGTTCTCCTGCCTCAGCTTCCAGAGTAGCTGGGATTACAGGACTGCACCACCACCCCTGGCTAATTTTGTATTTTTAGTAGAGACAGGGTTTCACCATGTTGGTCAAGAACTCCTGACCTCAGGTGATCTACCCACCTCAGCCTCCCAAAGTGCTAGGATTACAGGCATGAGCTACTGTGACCTTTCTTTTCTTTTCTTCTTCTTCTTTTTTTTTTGAGATGGAGTCTCGCTCTGTTGCCTAGGCGTGAGTGCAGTGGCTTGATCTTGGCTCACTGCAACCTCCGCCCTCCAGGTTCAGGCGATTTTTGTGCCTCAGCCTCCCGAGTATCTGGGATTACAGGTGCGTGCTGCCACACCTGCTAATTTTTGTGTTTTTAAGGGAGACAGGTTTTCACCGTGTTAGCCAGGCTGGTCTTGAACTCCTGGCCTCAAGTGATCCGCCCACCTCGGCCTCCCAAAGTGTTGGGATTACATGAGTCACTGTGCCGGCCTCAGAACTTTTCTTAAATATCCAAATCTGCCACTGAGCTTCTGCTCATGGTCCCTAGATCAACAATTAAGAACATTTTTTGGAATTTATTGCTAGCTCTGTTTGATCAATCCACTTTCTATAAACCAGGAGAATTAAATGTAAGTCTGTGAAAAAGTTACAATCTTGATCTAATCTTTAATGCTTTTAATATTCTATACTATATTAATGCTGTAATGTGGTATTAAAAACATTTAGGTGGTAAACAACAAAACAAAACCATTTAGGTAGGATGTGGTAGCTCATGCTTATAATTCTAACAGTTTGGGAGCCCAAGGTAGAAGAAGTATCCTGTGAGGCCAAGTTTCCCGTAGTCGATTTAAAAAAAAAAAATATATATATATATATGTGTATATATATATGTGTATATATATATGTATATATAATGTATTGCCACTTTCTTTGTAAATTACTTGAGTGATTTTTTTTTTTTTTTTTTTTTTGAGACAGAGTCTTGCTCTGTCACCCAGGGTAGAGTGCAGTAGTGTGATCTCGGCTCACTGCAATCTCCGCCTCCCTGGTTCAAGCAATTCTCTGCTTCAGCTTCTCAAGTAACTGGGATTACAGGCACCCACCACCATGCCTGGCTAATTTTTTGTATTTTTAGTAGAGGTGGGATTTCAGCATATTGGCCAGGCTGGTCTTGAACTCCTGACTTTGTGGTCTACCTGCCTCAGCCTCCCAAAATGCTAGGATTACAGACATGAGCCACTGTGCCCAGCAGAGTGATTTTTTTTGGTCTGAAAAATGAACTATTCTAGAAGCTTTTTTTTTTTTTTTTTTTTTTTTTTTTATGATACAGAGTCTGTTGCTCAGGCTGGAATGTGGTAACACAAACATGGCTCTCTGCAGGCTTGACTTCCCACGCTCAATCAATCCTCCTACCTCAACCTCCCGAGTAGCTAGGACTACAGGCACACGCCACCATGCCTGGCTAAGTTTTTATTTCACAGACCGGGTTTCACTATGTTACCCAGGTTGGTCTCAAACTCCTGGGTTCCAGTGAACTTCCTGCCTTGGCCTCCCAAAGTTCTAGGATTAGAGGCACAAGCCATTGCACCTGGCCTGGAAACTGAGTTTTACAAAAATTTGTGTGGAGGGGACCAGGATTAAGGATGCCTTGTCAACCGTGAGATGGCCCTCATGTAGAAAGGAACAGAAAGAGCATGTCATAATTATTGTCAACCAGAAGTTAATCAGCTTGATTTCTTTTTACTTTCAGACAGCTTGTGCAGCAACAACATTTGTTTGTGTAGGGATCTTTCTCATATATATGTTTTAATTAATTAATGATAGTGCTTTCTATTTCTTAATGAAAGATGCCTCAAAGTAATTTTCTAGTTAGATTTCCCTTTCTTGTCGTAAATACCTGAATGTTTTTTAATACGTGATCCTACCATGTCTGCTTTTGGCTTGCTCTACAGGAAATACTTTTAGTAGTTTGGCAGGGATGATGTTTGAGTGGAGCATTGCCCAGGACAACGAGTCAGCAAGAGAAGAACTGTCTAGTAAAATTAGGTAAACTTGAAGCCAAACACAAATCATCTGACTGTGAAGAAGACATCTTCCATTAAATGGCATACTGAACAAGCAAGAATTTGCATCAACTTAGATGATACTGCTGTCTGTTAACAGATAAATTACTGAGGGGGAATGTCTTTGATAGAATGAACCGTGACATAGATGTAGGTACCTTTATGATGGCTTAATTTGAGCCATTATGGAGGAGTTCGTGAGCTAAGGACCATACAATTATTTGAGCCAGGTGTATCTTCTGGCAGTTTTTTGTTCAAGCTGCCTGCATATGCTGAAGTAGAGGGAGAAGGATAATTGTATGAAATTGTCTTCAGTACCAAGGAGTAGATCTCAGACAATCCAAGTTTACTTCTACCACAATTTTAGCCAGAGGCTCATAAACACCTTTCTTTCTTTCTTCTTTTTTTTTTCTTTTTGAGATGGAGTCTTGCTCTGTCACCCAGGCTGAAGTGCAGTGGCACAATCTCAGCTCACTGCAACCTCTACCTCCTGGTTCAAGCGATTCTCCTGCCTCAGTTTCCCAAATAGCTGGGACTACAGGAGCCTGCCACAATGCCCGGCTAATTTTTGTATTTTTAGTAGAGATGGGGTTTCGCCATATTGGCCAGGGTGGTCTTGAACTCCTGACCTCAAGTGGTCCACCCACTTTGGCCTCCCGGCGTGCTGGGATTATAGGCATGAGCCACCACGCCTGGCCTCTCTTTTCTTTCCTTTCCTTTTTTTTTTTTTTTTTTTTTTTTGAGACAGCATCTCACTCTGTCCCCCAGGCTGGAGTGAAGTGGCTCGCTGCCACCTCCACCTCCTAAGTTTAAGCAATTCTCCTGTCTCAGCCTCTCGAATAGCTGGAATTACAGGTGTGTGCCACTACACCTGGCTAATTTTTGTATTTTTGGTAGAGATGGAGTTTCGCCATGTTGGCCAGGCTGGTCACCTGACCTCAGGTGATCCGCCTGCCTCGGCTTCCCAAAGTGCTGGGATTACAGGCATGAGCCACCATGCCCAGCCAAAAGTGTTTTATATTTTATAGACATTGAAGAAGCTATGTTTAACGTATCTTAGGGACTTTTGGAAGAAGACATCATTTAATTCTGCTAGAAACACATTTTATTTTATGTCTTTAGGATTCTTAAATACTCTGAAGCAGAATATTCTCCCCCGGTATATATAACCAAGATGGAAAAAGAGGAGAAACAAGGAGATATGATTTTAGTGTCCGGGATTAGAACTGGTGCTGCTGTTGTAAAAGTTCGAATTCATGAACCATTCTATAAGGTAAAAAGTTTGTGTTATAAATTTTCCTTACTTTTTTTTGTTTTTCAAGGTAGGATCTCCCTCTATTGCCCAGGTGCTACAGGTATGCACCACCACACCCTGTTTTTTGTTTGTTTGCTTGTTTGTTTTGTTTTGTTTTGTAGAGACAGGGTTTCGCCATGTTGCCCAGTCTGGTCTCAAACTTCTTAGCTTAAGCAGTCTGCCTGCCTCGGCCCCCTAAAGCTCTGGGATTACAGGTGTGAACTACCACACCTGGCAAGTGCTATAAATTTTCATCTAATAGTCTTGCCTATGGAAAACATAGTTATTTATGCTTATCTATAGTAAAGCCCTCTAACCTTATCTGATTTGGACCAGTAGTTGGTCATTTAATTGAAAAAGTTATTTGAAGTGGGTAAGCATTAAAAAAAATTATCTTTCTTAAACATTTTATTGCCTGATTACAATTACAAATGTGACTGGCATTTTCTCTTAAAAGATATAACTACAGTTTATTCAACAATCTTTGATGTAGGTGAAAGGCCTTTCTTTAACCATTAGTTCACTGATTTGAAATCTACATACACTTTCTTGCATAAACTACAGTTTCTAATTTCTTCGTTTTTTGGGGGTGGAAGGGTTCAAGTGATTCTTGTGCCTCAGCCTCCCAAGTATCTGGGGTTATAGGTGTGTGCCACCATGCACAGTAATTTTTGTATTTTTAGTAGAGACAGGGTTTCGCTATGATGGCCAGGCTGGTTTTGAACTTCTGGCCTCAAGTTATCCACCTGCCTCGGCCTCCCAAAGTGCTAGGATTACAGGTGTGAGCCACCGCCCACAGCCCTAATTTCTAGTCAAGTGAAAATTTAGATGCAGGAAGAATTTGAGTGCAGAATTTTATATTTTAAAGGATTTTCCCTAATATTTTACATTTCTCACTTGCACCTAATTGATAGTATATATTAGCAGCTTGCCTTTCACTTTGTTTGGAAAAATTTAATTTTTTTTTTTTTTTTTTTTTTTTTTGAGACAGGGTCTTGTTCTGTCACCCAGGCTGGAGTACAACGTCATAATCTCGGCTCACTGCAACCTCCGCCTCCCAGGTTCAAGCGACTCTCTTGCCTCCTCTTGAGTAGCTGGGATTACAGGTAGCTGCCAACCATGCCCAGCTAATTTTTTTATTTTTAGTAGAGATGGGGTTTCACCATGTTGGCCAGGCTGGTCTTGAACTGACCTCAGGCGATCTGCCTGCGTTGGCCTCCCAAAGTGCTATAATGACAGGCGTGAGCCACTGTGCCAAGCCAAAACATTTAAATTTTTAGTAGAAACAACAGTTCTCTTTTCACATCTATAGTTTTGTTTTAACGCAATTATAATTACAAGCACAACTTGCATAAATAGATTTGGAAAAAACAAATGTCTTTTGGTAAGCATTTAATTCAGTGGCAAGAACACGAGTGTGTGGACCTCCTAGAGAGAAGCCTACCAACCTTGCATTGGGTAAATCCTCACAAAAATCAATGTGTTCAACAGGGAGTGGAAAGTAACTTAACCTGGCAAGTCAGTTAACTGGAGGCTGGCTAAAAGAATTTCTGCATTCAGGCCGGGCGCGGTATAATCCCAGCACTTTGGGAGGCTGAGGCGGGTGGATCACGAGGTCAGGAAATCAAGACTATCCTGGCCAAAATGGTGAAACCCCATCTCTACCAAAAATACCAAAAAAATTATCTGGGTGTGGTGGTGCGCACCTGTAATCTCAGCTACTTGGGAGGCTGAGGCAGGAGAAACACTTGAACATGGGAGGTAGAGATTGCATTGAGTTGAGATCGAGTCACTGCACTCCAGCCTGGCAACAGAGTGAGACTCTTGTCTCAAAAAAAAAAAAAAGAATTTCTGTGTTTCACAACCGAGTTTTACCTTTTCTCATTTCAGCATACTTGCCTTTCTATTTACCTACTTTTTCTCTTTTAGAAGACTTTTCTATTCTTAGTCTGAGTACCTAAAAAAAACCCAAAAAAGTTAATACGGTATTAAGATTCATGATCACTTTTTAAGGGTAGCTGAAATTATGACTTGTGATTAGGAAAGCTTTTTAAAAAAAATTTTTTTTAAAGAAATTTGAAAGAAGTAAGCTTTTAACAAGAAAGATGACTGTGAGAATTCTGTCCATGTAAACTGTTTTTTTTCCTACCTCTTTTAGAAGGTGGCAGCAGCATTGATACGTCTGCTTGTTTGGGAGAATATATTTCTTATACCATCCCATGATATTTACCTCTTAGTAGGAGCATATATTAAATACCAAGTTGCAAAAATGGTTCAAGGGAGAATGACAGGTAAGGTGATTTATTTTTTCTCCTATGATGACTCACATTTCCCGAATCTTTTCTGCTGACAAGATCAGCAACTCCACATTACATATGAAAAATATTTGGGTTTTTAGATTTTGTTATAGAGTATTAATTGCTATACTTAATTAATATTAGATATAGATAGCTCCATATCTTGAACATATTAATGGCATAGTTCGGCTGCGTAGCTTCAGTTGCAAGAGGCATCTGAATTCTCTATTAAAACAACAACTAGGCCGGGTGCGGTGGCTCACACCTGTAATCCCAACACTTTGAAAGTCCAAGGTGGGCATATCATGAGGTCAGGAGTTCAAGACCAGCCTGGCCAACATGGTGAAACCCTGTCTCTACTAAAAATACAAAAATTAGCTAGGCATGGTGGCATGTGCCTGTAATCCCAGCTATTTGGGAGGCTGAGGCAGGAGAATTGCTTGAACTGGGACCCAGGAGGTGGAGGTTGTGGTGAGCTGAGACCGTGCCACTACACTCCAGTGGGCTACAGAGTGAGACTCCATCTCAAAACAACAACAACCAGCCAGACATGGTGGCTCTCACTTGTAATTCCAGCTACTCTGGAAGCTGAGGCAGGAAGTTGCTTGAGGCCAGAAGTTCGAGACCAACCTAGGCAACAGAGCAAGATCCCCATCGTTTTTTAATTTAATTGTATTTATTTATTTTTATTTTTTTGAGATGGAGGGGGTCTCCCTCTGTTGCCCAGGTTGTAGTACAGTGGCATAATCATAGCTCACTGCAACCTCAAACTCCTGTGCTCAAGTGATCCTCCCACTTTGGCCTCCCAAGTAGCTGGGACTACAGGTTCCTGCCACCATATCCAGCCCTTTTTTTTTTTTTTTTTTTTTTTGGTAGAGATGGGATCTCATTATGTTATCCACGCTGGTCTTGAACTCCTTGTCTCAAGTGATTCTGCCACCTTGGCCTCCCTCCCAAAGAGCTGAGATTATAAGCATGAGCCACTGTGCCAGGCCAAAGACCCCATCCCTAAAAGTAACTAAATAAATAAAACAACAAAAACTTTACTAGCTGTTAAAGGGCAAGTGAAGACACTTTACCAGAAGGGACTTGAATGATCATTGCAATGATCTTTGTAAAAGTTGTTTCTTGAGAAACCCAATTCATCAACTGAAAACTTAATATTCTATTGATACTAAAAGTTACATTCCATTAACATTAGTCTTTTCATTACTATAATGACTCCTCCTGCTACTCAGTTCACTAGTTTTTAAGAATACAAGCAATACCAGATATATATATATATATATATATATATATATATATATATTTTGAGATGGCATCTTGCTCTGTCACCCAGGCTGGAGTGCAATGGCGCAATCTCAGCTCACTGCAACCTTTGCCTCCTGGGTTCAAGGGATTCTCCTGCCTCAGCCTCCCAAGTAACTGAGATTACAGGCATGCACCATCATGCCCAGCTAATTTGTATGTTTTTAGTAGATACAGGGTTTCACCATGTTGGCCAGGCTTGTCTCGAACTCATGACCTTAGCCGATCCGCTCGCCTTGGCCTCCCAAAGTGCTGGGATTACAGGCGTGAGCCACCACACCCGGCCTCCAACAATATATTTTAACTCATGTATTAGCCCCAAATGGTTACATGTAGAAATTCATCATAGCAGGAAAAACATTAGAAGCAGATCATACTCTTATTTTATGTCTGCTTCCTGATCATTCCTTTATGATCAAGAATACATCATTATCCACTGGAATGGCTGCTGTTATTACATTTATGTATCTTTCATGTCTTACAGAGGTGAAATTTCCCCTGGAACATTATACACTGGAATTGCAAGACCATAGAGTTGCATTTAATGGTTCTCATTCTAAGAAAGTAGCTTTACTGGATGACAAAACAGCCATGGTGACTGCCTTACAACTGGGCCAGACTAATCTTGCCTTTGTCCATAAAAGTATCCTTTTGTTCAAGTTTTAGCTGCCAGTCTGTACTTCCTAGAGCATGCTAGACATGTTCTTTGGTAAAATAACTTATTAAGAGTGATTATAATACTACTACAGTATTTTTTCTATAAGTTTTATTTTTAACAAAGAATTATAAATTATTATTGCCATAATTTCTTTTTTTTTTAATTGCATTTTAGGTTTTGGGATACATGTGAAGAACATGCAAGATTGTTGCATAGGTACACACATGGCAGCGTGATTTGCTGCTTTCCTCCCCTTCACCTATATCTGGCATTTCTCCCCATGCTATCTCTCCCCAAATCCCCACCCCCCGCTGTCCTTCCCCTATTTCCCCCCAACAGACCCCAGTGTGTGATGCTCTCCTCCCTGTGTCCATGTGTTCTCATTATTCAACACCCACCTATAAGTGAGAACATGTGGTGTTTGATTTTCTGTTCTTGTGTCAGTTTGCTGATAATGATGGTTTCCAGGTTCATCCATGTCCCTAGAAAGGACATGAACTCATCGTTTTTGATGGCTGCATAGTATTCCATGGTGTATATGTGCCACATTTTCCCTGTCCATTCTATCATTGGTGGGCATTTGGGTTGGTTCCAGGTCTTTGCTATTGTAAATAGTGCTGCAATGAACATTCATGTGCATGTGTCCTTATAGTAGAATGATTTATAATCCTTTGGATATATACCCAGTAATGGGATTGCTGGGTCAAATGGAATTTCTATTTCTAGGTCCTTGAGGAATTGCCACACTGTCTTCCATAATGGTTGAACTAATTTACACTCCCACCAACAGTATGAAAGTGTTCCTGTTTCTCCACATCCTCTCCAGCATCTGTTGCCTCCAGATTTTTTAATGATCGCCATTCTAACTGGTGTGAGATGGTATCTTGATGTAGTTTTGATTTGCATTTCTCTAATGACCAGTGATGATGAGCATTTTTTCATGTTTGTTGGCCTCATGTATGTCTTCTTTTGTAAAGTATCTGTTCATATCCTTCACCCACTTTTGAATGGGTTGTTTTTTTCTTGTAAATCTGTTTTAGTTCTTTGTAAATTCTGAATATCGGCCCTTTGTCAGATGGGTAGACCGAAAAGAATTTTTCCCATTCTGTTGGTTGCCGATTCACTCTAATGACTGTTTCTTTTGCTGTGCAGAAGCTGTGGAGTTTGATTAGGTCCTATTTGTCTATTTTGGCTTTTGTTGCCAATGCTTTTGGTGTTTTGGTCATGAAGTCCTTGCCTACGCCTACGTCCTGAATGGTTTTTCCTAGATTTTCTTCTACGGTTTTTTATGGTGTTAGGTCTTATGTTTAAGTCTTTAATCTATCTGGCGTTAATTTTAGTGTAAGGTGTCAGGAAGGGGTCCAGTTTCTGCTTTCTGCACATGGCTAGCCAGCTTTCCCAACACCATCTATTGAACAGGGAATCCTTTACCCATTGCTTGTTTTTGTCAGATTTGTCAAAGATCGAATGGTTGTAGATATGTTGTGTTGCCTCTGAGGCCTCTGTTCTGTTCCATTGGTCTGTTTCTCTGTTTTGGTACCAGTACCATGCTGTTTTGATTACTGTAGCCTTGTAGTATAGCTTGAAGTCCGGTAATGTGATGCCTCCTGCTTTGTTCTTTTTGCTTAGAATTGACTTGGCTATGCTTGCTCTCTTTTGGTTCCATATGAAGTTTAAGGTGTTTTTTTCCAGTTCTGTGAAGAAGGTCATTGGTAGCTTGATGGGGGTAGTGTTGAATCTGTAAATTACTTTGGGCAGTATGGCCATTTTCACGATATTGATTCCTAACCATGAACATGGAATGTTTCTCCATCTGTTTGTGTCCTCTCTTATTTCGTTGAGCAGTGGCTTGTAGTTCTCCTTGAAGAGGTCCTTTACGTTCCTTGTGAGTTGTATTCCTAGGTATTTTATTTTCTTTGTAGCAATTGTGAATGGCGGTTCGTTTTTGATTTGGCTCTCTTTAAGGCTGTTATTGGTGTATAGGAATGCTTGTGATTTTTGCACATTGATTTTGTATCCTGAGACTTTGCTGAAGTTGCTTATCAGCTTCAGGAGATTTTGGGCTGAAATGATGGGGTCTTCTAGATATACAATCATGTCATCAGCCAATAGAGACAATTTGACTTCCTCCTTTCCTATTTGAATACCCTTCATTTCTTTTTCTTGACTGATTGCTCTGGCTTATTGCCATAATTTCTAAGAGAGTAGGTAAAGAAAAGGAGAATAGTTGGAACTTGGGATCTACTGACTTCGGTGCTTTTTGCAACCTCCATCAAATTGTAATTAGGGAAATTTAAAAATTGTAATTAGGGGGCCGGGCGCGGTGGCTCAAGCCTGTAATCCCAGCACTTTGGGAGGCCGAGGCGGGTGGATCACGAGGTCAAGAGATCGAGACCGTCCTGGTCAACAAGGTGAAACCCCGTCTCTACTAAAACTAGAAAATTATTATTTTTATAGAGACAGGGTCTTGCTCTTTTGCCCAGGCTGGAGTGCAATGGTGCAATCTTGGCTCACTGCAACCTGTAAACTCCCAGGCTCAAGTGATCCTCCCAGCTCAGCCTCCCAAGTAGCTGGGACCACAGGCATGTGCCACCACACCCAGCTAAATTTTGTATGTTTTTGTAGACATGAAGTCTCACCATGTTGCCCATGCTGGTCTTGAACCCCTGGACTCAAGTAATTGACCTGCCTTGGCCTCCCAAAGTGCTAAGATTCTAGGCATGAGCCACCACACCCGGCCAGATTCTTTTTTTTTTTTAGAGTTAGGGTCTCACCCTGTTGCCCAGGTTAGAGTGCAGGGGCATCATCATAACTCACAGAGGCTTTGAGCAATCCTCCCACCTCAGCTTTCTGAGTAGCTGAGACTATAGGCACACACGACCATGTCATACTAATTTTGTAGAGATGGGGTCTTGCTAGACTGAATAGGCTGGTTGAACTCCTGGCCTTAAGTGAACACATCCTGCCTAGGCCTCCAAAGTGCTTGGATGACAGGTATGAGCCACCACACCTAGTCTTTTCCTAGCATAGTTAGAGAAGTCCTCTCTGATAAGGCTACACTGGTGTTGTAAGCCATGTGGATAATTGGTGAAAGACTTCTAGGAAAATGAAAGAGCAGTTGCAACGGTTCTGAAGTAGGAACATATTTGACATGAGTAAAAAAGACTATGGAAGACAGTGAAGCTGAAGTGCAGTGAATCAGGAAATAGTAGAAGTAATAGAGTAGGGGAGGAGCAGATTAGGTAGGGCCTAGCAGGCTTACTCTGAATAAGCATGCCTCTATTCTGGGCACACTGTCTACGGGGTAGCCCCGCTTCAAAAGGAGCAGTACCTCTGCAGCTGCTGTACACTGCCGCTTGAAGAAAAGTTGCTAACACCAAAAAAAAATTCTATCAGGTTTTCGTATAATAGTGTTACTTAGTTGGCTATATTATTTGTCTAGCACACACTAAGGAGAGTTATTGATGCCATGTTGTTTACTTTTTAGTCATTTTAAGGCACCTAGGACATTTTTCAACAAATACAATCATACTTACAAAATAAACTCAATAAATATTCAATATTTATTGAGCCCCAACTAGTGTCAGGCACTTTCCTGAATTCCCCAGGTGAACTTAAATGTTCTTTTCCCCCCCTACACATGATCTTAGCCAAAAGGCCGAGAAGCGATTCTTTCCCCCCCTATATTTTCAGTTCATATTATTGTTTCCAAAGTATCAAATATGAAAATACATCATATTTGTCCATTTATATGTCTTTTTTGAGGATGTGGATAGTGACTATTCATAATTTGTCCCAGCACCTGGCATAGGGTAGCTGGTGGAACTGTTCATGGAGATAGAGAATATAAGAGAAAGAGCAGTTTTTTTTTTTGAGACGGAGTTTCACTCATGTTACCCAGGCTGGAGTGCAATGGTGCGATCTCGGCTCACCGCAACCTCCGCCTCCTGGGTTCAGGCAATTCTTCTGCCTCAGCCTCCTGAGTAGCTGGGATTACAGGCACGCACCACCATGCCCAGCTAATTTTTTGTATTTTTAGTAGAGACGGGGTTTCACTATGTTGACCAGGATGGTCTCGATCTCTTGACCTCGTGATCCACCCGCCTCGGCCTCCCAAAGTGCTGGGATTACAGGCTTGAGCCACCGCGCCCGGCCTGAGAAAGAGCAGTTTTAAGGAAAAAGGTAGCAAGTTCAGTTTTTTACATGTTAAATTGAAGTGCCTGTGGGGTAGACATCAACAACAGAAATTTTCTTTTTTTTTTTTAAAGACGGGGTTTCACCATGTTGGTCAGGCTGGTCTTGAACTCCCAACCTCAGGTGATTCGCCAGCCTTGGCCTCCAAAGTGCTTGGATTACAGGCATGAGCCACCATGCCCAGCCCCAACAGAAATTTTCATTATGCCTCTGGAGGAGAAAGATTGAAGATCAAGATAGATAGTTGAAAGTTAGTTTATAGGTAGGTGATAGTTGGAGCTATTGTAGATAAAATCACGTAGGGAAATTATATAGAGTGAGAGAATTTGGCCAAAGATGGAATTGTGTAATGCTGGCTTTTACGGTTCAGATGGAAAAAGAGGACCTATGAGGAGGATCTGAAAGAATGATTAAAATGTAGTATTATAGAAAAACCAAGGATGGGTGTGGTGGCTTATGTCTGTAATCCCAACACTTTGGGAGGCTGAGGCAGGTGGATTACTGGTCAGGAGTTTGAGACCAGCCTGGCCAACATGGAGAGACTCCTTCTCTAATAATAATATAAAAATTAGCAGGGCATGGTGGTACATGCCTGTAATCCCAGCTACTCAGGAGGCTGAGGCAGGAGAATCACTTGAACCTGGGAGGCAGAAGTTGTAGTGAGCCGAGATGGCGCCACTGCGCTCCAGCTTGTGAAACAGATAGAAATGAGTCTCAACTGAAAAAAAAAAAAGAAAGATAAAACAGAGAGAGGAGTTTCCTGATAACCAAATTAGAAATTTACAAAGAGAAGAAGATTGTTCAACAGGTCAAATCTGGTAGTGATGTCAAGATAAAGACTGAAAGCTTGTGGTAACTAGGAGGTCTTGGGTCACTTTGTCAGTAAAATCAGCTTGGCTTTTACAAGGACAAAACAAAGTAGAATTTTGAAAAAGACACAAGGAGGATTTTTTTTTTCTAAGATTGGAAAAACTTGAACATTTCTCTTAATTAAACAGAGAAAGATGGTAGAGATAAGGGAAAAAAGGGAGCCAGTTGATGGAGCATGTTTTCTGAGAGGCAACAAAAAATGAGATTTAGAATGCAGATAGAAGGCTTAGATCTTATTTTGCTATCTTATTCCAATATCAGAAGAATGAACTGTTGTAGAGATCTGTTCAGATGTTTGTAAAATGAAGGGGATGTTGTTATTTCTGACTTTCTTTCTAGCTCTTATATTTATGAATATTATAGTAAAGTACATATCAGAACTAAACCTAAGTTTGGCACAGAGTTACCCATAAAGTATTTAGAAGGTTTGCTTTAGGCCAGGCACAATGGCTCTTGCATGTAATCCCAGCACTTTGATAGGCTGAGGCAGGAAGATTTCTTGAGTCCAGGAGTTTAAGATCAGTCTGGGCAACATAGTGAGACCCCATCTCTACAAAAAGTAAAAGGGTAGCCAGGTGTGATGGTGCAGGCCTGTAGTGACACAGTGAGACCCTGTCTCAAAAAAAAGATGGACCAGGGTGCAGTGGCTCATACCTGTAATCCCAACACTTTGGGAGGCTGAGCCAGGTGGATCACCTGAGGTCAGGAGTTCGAGACCAGCCTGGCCAACATGGCGAAGCCCTGTCTCTACTAAAAATACAAAAATTAGCCAGGTATGGTGGCACACATCTATAGTCCAAGCTACTTGGGAGGCTGAGACAGGAGAATTGCTTGAACCTGGGAGGTGGTAGTTGAGTGAGCCAAGATCATGCCACTGCACTCCAGCCTGGGTGACAGCACAATGGTGCAATGTCAGCTCACTGCAACTTCTGTCTCCCAGGTTCAAGCAATTCTCCTGCCTCAGCCTCCTGAGTAGCTGAGATTACAGGCACCCGCCACCACTCCCAGCTAATTTTTGTATTCTTAGTAGAGACAGGGTTTCACCATGTTGGTCAGGTTGGTCTCAAACTCCTGACCTTAGGCGATCCACCTACCTCGGCTTCCCAAAGTGCTGGGATTGTAGGCATGAGCCACCATGCCTGGCCAATTTTTCAATTTTTTTTAGAGATGGGGTCTCACTATGTTGGCCAGTCAGGTCTTGAATTCCTGGGCTCAAGCGATCCTCTTATCTCAGCCTCCCAAAGTGTTGGGATTACAGGCATGAGCTACTGTGCCCATTCTAAATTAGTGTATTTCAGATTGAATATTTTCTGTTTAGCCATGTCAGTTATGTATTTCTTTTTATTTTTAGATGAAGTCTCACTCTGTTGCCCAGGCTGCAGTGCAGTGGCATTATCTCAGCTCACTGCAACCTCCGTCTTTCAGGTTCAAGCAATTCTCTTGCCTCAGCCTCCCAAGTGTCTGGGATTACAGGTGCATGCCACCAGGCCTGGTTTATTTTGATATTTTTAGTAAAGATGGGGTTTCATCATGTTGGCCAGGCTGGTCTCAAACTCCTGACCTCAATTGATCCACCCGCCTCAGCCTCCCAGAGTGCTGGGATTACAAGTGTGAGCCACCCCACCTGGCCAATTATGTATATCTCTGAGCAGAAGTAATTTATTCTTAGCTCTTGGATGTAGTTTTTTTTTTTTTTTTTAGAACAAAGCATAGTCTTAATTAGATTCTATATAGACTGATACTGGAATAAATTTATGTTCTTGCCAGAATTATCTGAAATGGTAGTGGTAGAATGAGGTATAAGTGACCCAGAAGTATCTTTGGTAGCAAGCAGAAACATTGTGGTGGTAAACATTTGCTGCAGATAATAGAAAATCAACTAGTGATTTTTAAACTGTCTGTGGAGTTCTAGGCATGTTGCTGGATGGCAAGTCATGCCTCTCCCTCTTCGTCCATCAACACTGTTCATCCCTTCAGCCAGAAGGACTCTTCCTCCAGAACGGAGCCACTTTGTCCTGCTTCCATACTGGGCTCCTATGTAGGTGTTTATTTGGAAAAAGGGTTCTGCAGCTACATTAATATTAAAAGCACAAAGCATGATCTTTTTTTCCTCCCTTTCTATCTTCCTCAAATTTGAAATTCAAGAATATCTGACTCATAAGATGACTAAGAGTCCCTCAGACTTTTCGCAGAAGTATACACATTTAAGTTTTAGCTTTCCAGAGGATAATAAAAGATAGGAATTTGTTTTCATTTGTGCATTTGTTTGTTTTTCTCCTTTGGTACCTTACCTTTTTACCCAACTCTGGCTCACATAATTTCCTTAAGCAAAAATTAAGATGTTCATATGCGATCTGTGTCTGGACTCCCAAATTGCACAATATATGTTGTAGAGCCTGGATTTTTAGGTATCTTAGATCATACTTTTCAGAAAGGTGGATAGTTTAAATGATTTCTCTAAAATGAGTGCATTAAAAACTAGAGTGTTTCTTCAACTTTCATCCTGAGACTTAATGAATTTCAAATTCAACTTTACTTTGACATGTTTTATCAAATTGTTCTGATTAAATGCTATCACAAGAGTGAAGCATGTTGAAACAGATTGTGAGAAAATATGAAAACCCATGTAATACAATTTTGAGGTTAGGAAAAGAGATTTTATACAAGGAAAAATAATCTTAATGCTCATACGTCATATGAAACGATGAGTCTGAAAGAAGCTAAAATATTGCCTGACGCATTGGGAATGAGCCGAAAGTCTAGTTTTTTCTTGTCTACAGATATAAGTGAAAGTCTTTCCCTTTTTTGTTGGTGTTTGGTTTTTGTTTTTGTTGAGACAGGGTCTTGCCCCATCACCCAGACTGGAACACAGTGGCACAATCTAAGCTGACTGCAACCTCTGCCTCTTGGGCTCAAGCAGTCTTCACACCTTAGCCTCCCAAGTAGCTGGGACTACAGGTATACCACTATGCCTGGCTAATTTTTGTGTTTTCTGTAAAGATGGGATTTTGCCGCAGTGCCTAGGCTAGTCTCGAACTCCTGAGCTCAAGGGATCTGCTCTCCTCAACCTCCCAAAGTGCTGGGATTACAGGCATGAACCACCATGCCAACCTAAAGTGCTTCTTTTTTTTTTTTTTTTTTTTTTTGGGGGGTTTTTCTGTTGTTTCCCAGACTGGGGTGCAATGGCGCGATCTCGGCTCACCGCAACCTCCG